TAGGAATATTTTCCTACAGTCAATTCATCAGCATCGACATTATTTTAATTAGAGGAAATCATCTTCAAGAAACATGAGGAGTTATTAGGTTTAACAATTATACTTTATATAAATACATAATACACAATGTGTAATACATATATATCATAGTAATTATACAATATACAAATATTAAGTAATACTTTTAAAATCCAACATAGGATAATTTTATTACAGTCTACCTTTAATTTATGTTATACTATGTACACATATATAAGTATATAATATATAATATACTACTATATACCATTAGTAATTGTACAGAGAAGGCAAATTAAGTGATAAAAAATATACTATAATGGAGTATGAAGAAGGGCATAAGAATTTTGTAGTGGGGTGGAGGAAGGAGGGGGGGGGGGGTGATATATTGCATACGTAAAAGAGAGAATAGATGTTAAGGACATTAGGATATACCCGAATCTTTTAATGGAGAAATTGGGAGAAAATTAATATGGATAAATTTATTTTAGGTAAGAGAATCTTAAGGGAGAGATATTAGGATAGTTCTATGTAAGAGAATCTCAAGGGAGAGATTTTAGGAATATGAAAAGTTGTAGATTAAAATAAATTATATTTTATATAATTTTCTAAAAGTAGTTATAACTTATTTAATTAAGTACTAAGTAAGTGTAAAAATTGCATGGGGCACCCATATTTGGTCGCCCCTTTTTAACTTATACCCGTTTTATTTTTCCGTTTGCATCCGTACCCATTTTTTTTGTTAAAAATATTTTAAAAAGACAATTTTGCCATTCTTTAATAAAAGACTATTGACAAACTGCAGGACAAAAACTTAAGCATGTTTAGACTGAAATTTTAGCAAATAAACTAAAAAACTTCAGCTTGTTTAGACTGAAGTTTTGGATAAAACTCAGGACAAAACTGTAGACTGCGTTACAAAACTCCATGTTTTGGTATGAATTTTTAGCAAATGAACTAAATAACTCCAGGATGCATTAGCAAAAACTCTTTAGAAAATTACATACTGCAAGACAAAAATTTAAGCATGTTTAGTCTGAAGTTTTAGCAAATGAACTAAAAAACTTTAGCATGTTTAGTCGGAAATCTTAGCAAATGAACTAAATAATTTCAGCATATTTTTTCTGAAATTTTAGCAAATGAACTAAATAACTTCAGCATGTATTAGCAAAAACTCATTAGAAAATTACATACTACAAGACAAAAACTTAAGCATGTTTAATCTGAAATTTTAGCAAATGAACTAAAAATTTTAAGCATGTTTAGTATGAAATTTTAGCAAATGAACTAAATAACTTCAGCATGTTTCGACTGAAGTTTCGGATAAAATTCATGACCAAAACTATAGACTGCATGATAAATAACTTCAGCATGTTTCGACTGAAGTTTCGGATAAAATTCATGACCAAAACTATAGACTGCATGATAAATAACTTCAGCATGTTTCGACTGAAGTTTCGGATAAAATTCATGACCAAAACTATAGACTGCATGATAAATAACTTCAGCATGTTTCGACTGAAGTTTCGGATAAAATTCATGACCAAAACTATAGACTGCATGATAAATAACTTCAGCATGTTTCGACTGAAGTTTCGGATAAAATTCATGACCAAAACTATAGACTGCATGATAAATAACTTCAGCATGTATTAGCAAAAACTCATTAGAAAATTACATACTACAAGACAAAAACTTAAGCATGTTTAATCTGAAATTTTAGCAAATGAACTAAATAACTTCAGCATGTTTAGACTGAAGTTTCGGATAAAATTCATGACAAAACTATAGACTGCATGATAAATAACTTCAGCATGCATTAACATGAAGTTTTAGCTTTAATGTGAAACAACTTCATGCTATATTAGCATGAATTTTAGCTTCAACATGAAACAAATTCATGCTACATTAGCATGAAGTTTTAGCTTCAAGGTGAAACAACTTCATGCAAGTGTGATTCTGAAGATGAATCTAGACAAGTTTCTGATTTTTTTTTATAAAGTTGATGAGAGGAGAGGAGGAGATCGTTTTATATCTTTTGTCAGGGGTGTAATTTTCATATTATTACGAATTTTTTGTGAGATGGCTACCAAATTAATAATTTTAAAAAATAGGGTACATGTTAAAAGGTGGCACAAATATAGGGTACGGCTGCAAATTCCCCTAAATAAGTTGTATTACGTGTAAATTCCTCTAACATTATTGGACTGGCCCAATAGAGTGCAGCCTTTTGTCCATGAGCGCCCATTAAGAGGTCCACTTCTTGGGCTTATGTTACGTTTGCTTTTCTTTTGGGCCCAAAATCTTTCCTCCAATTCCAATATAAACGTTGTTCACTAGGGTTTTTTCTCCATTTTCGGGACATTTGCAACGTGAGAGCTCGCAGCTGCATCAACAATGGTTCTCAAGTAAGTCCCCTGCCTTCTTACCTATACAAAAAAATGCTGCCGTATGCCCTAATTTAATTGTAATTCTCATTTCATGTTTATTCGCTTATCCATTTTATTTGATTTAGCTCATGAATATGTATTGAAAGTCCCTGTTTTTACTCTATTATTCGTTCGGTTTTTGATTCGAGCACCAGTTCGGGGCAAACAGTACAAAAAATTCTTCGTTTATTGACAATTTTTTTGCTAGCTATAGTTGTATTGAATAATGAAATGTGAATCAGTACTGTAAAGCACATTTTTTTTCTTAGTGCTACTTTACATGGATAATTCTCAATAGCTGTTTTGTAGTTGCATTTGATATGATTGACTGCTGCTTTTAGAATTTACATTTTGATTTGACAAACTATTAGAAAATCATAGAAAAACCGATTTTTTTTGCACTAAGTCAAACAAACAAGCTCAAAAAGATTTTTAAAACTCTTTATTTTTAAGTATGGTCAATTGCTTATGAGGTAGCAATATCACAGGTTTTTAAACTTACCGGCTTGTTCTCGGTTCCTTTAGTTTGGACTTTTTACTCATTCTATTACACAGAAGTATAAGTGATTATATTAATAGTTTTGTTCTTATACTGATTTCAGGACGGAACTCTGTCGTTTTAGTGGTGGAAAGATATATCCAGGGAGGGGCATCAGATTTATTCGTTCAGATTCTCAGGTAATTTTATAAGAGATACGAACATGTGCTAATATATTTGTACCTCATGATTAAGCTATTGTGACTCGTGGGATTACACTGGGTTTGTTGTTGTTGTTGATTAAGTTATTGTGACTTATTAGTGGAAGGAGGTAGTGTCAGGTTTTCATTTCAGCTGTTCATTTTTCTTATTTTTCGTGATATTAGGTGTTCCTGTTTCTCAACTCAAAATGTAAACGGTACTTTCACAATCGCCTGAAGCCTTCCAAGCTTACTTGGACAGCTATGTATAGGAAGCAGCACAAGAAGGTTAGTCTCAATAAAGCATCAATGAGTAAAATATTTGAACTTATCCAAGCTTTATTCTGTTTTAAAATTTCCCATAAGGATTGAAAAATTGAAGGATAGCTAGCTCGATCATACCTTATGTACTATAAACTTTGGATTAAGGCACAGAGTCCTCTTCACCTTGCCATCTTTTGTGCAACTGTTTGTATATACTTTTTGCCTAATTAAATTCTCCATTTTCGTGTGTTAACTTTAGGATATTGCACAAGAAGCTGTTAAGAAGAGGCGACGTGCAACAAAGAAGCCTTACTCCAGGTCCATTGTGGGTGCAACCCTGGAGGTTATTCAGAAGAAGAGAACTGAAAGGCCAGAAGTTAGAGATGCTGCTAGGGAAGCTGCTCTCCGGTTTGTTCCTATCATTTTCTGCATGTTGACCTCTTAGATTTAGCGTGAGTTTATATCACGGTTTCTCATATAATACATGTAAATCATGTACACCTAATGTGGTTGTTAAACCTTTGCAAAAAAAGGGAAATGGTTGTAAAATTTGTGGTTTAATGACTTTCTTTATTTAATGGAGGTGAATTGATTCTTTATGTTGTATTGGTTTGTGCAGTGAAATCAAGGAAAGAATCAAGAAGACAAAGGATGAGAAGAAGGCCAAGAAGGCAGAGGTGCAGGCCAAGTCACAGAAAGCTGGAGGGAAGGGCAACATGCCCAAGGGAGCTGGAGGTAAAGGTCCTAAGCTCGGTGGTGGCGGTGGAAAACGTTAAGCTATATTCTGTTGTTTCCTTGTAAGTCGGTGTTTGAGAAATTTTTTCATAGGCACTGTAAGCGGCATCATTTACCAGTAGTATAGTCAAAACCGCAGGCAGCAAGTTCTCAAAACAAATGGTTTTGCATTTAAATTTTGCTATTATTCGTTGATAGACTACAGTTAAATGCAGTTTTTCTCACTCTTAACAATATATCTCCATGTTCTGTTTTATTTGAAATGTGCTATGCTCTGCAAGAACTTCCCATCTTGTTGGTTGTCAGGAGAAAAGTGATCCGGTATTGAAGCTGAAGTAAATTGAGTTTCCAAATAAAAAAGCTGTTTAAAATCTTGTGGCATGACGTGTATATGGTACTTGAGGTGTACATGATGTGCATCTCCTTATTTCATCCCCCTATAATGTATTCATTTATGTTGTCCCAAAGGGGTGCAGTTGATGAAAATTTTGGAATCATGCTTCCATGAAATTATGGAAAGGTGATTTATTTTGTCCAAACTCTTGGTGGATAGAGTTATCTCATTTTCTTGCACTTGTGCGGGTGGTGGCTAATGTATGTATTTTTCATCGATGAACCCAAATGTCTAACCTCGTACTTGTCATGCCCTCCCCTCCCCTCTATGTGCAAAACCCTCTCGTCTACTCTGCTCCACATTTGTCCATTGCCATCCTAGTCACTATCTAGTGCAATTGACTTGGGCATAGCATCTTCGCCAGTTAAATGGGAAAAGAAGGCATATCAGCTATGTTAGCAAAGAGCTCCAACACTGGAATGTAAACCATATCCAAGTGCCTTTAGAGACATGAAAATTGTACCATTTGTCTGTACATGAAATGATAAAACTAAAAACAACTAAACCTTTCTTTTCATGGTAGGTGAACAGAGAGCATATTTACCTGATGTTCCGTAGTAGCTATACTATGCAGCAAAACTGGATCAAGTACAAAGCTTTAACATTTACATGGACAAGAGAGTAACACACCTAAGGTACAAGCACAATGATAGTATAAGCTGTGTAATGGAACCTAATTCTAAGAGCGTTGGTAATAGAATAAAACTATAAAACATATCATTTACAGAAACTATTTAACCCCTTTCCTCCTACACCTCTTGAGATCGCTGGGTGTAATTGATAGAGAGTCTACACAGAGCCCACCTTTCGAATGTGTGCAATCAATCTGTTTCATAGAAAATCTAACTTCAGTTACAGGATCTGAGCTACTGACAATAAATTCACCCACCCTGTACTCAATCCAGCACCCGCGTTTTTTTGCATCATATTGCTCGACTTCATGGAGAAAGAACTCACTAACTGCATGCTGTCCATCAGAAGTGGACAGTTCAAAGCGTACTGGCCCCAAATCCCATCCATGAGTGTGCTCAAAGTTGGGAACACGTCGGCCTAATCTCTTAAAATATTTCCCCAGATGGATCCTGAAAGTTAGTGTGTATATATCCGGAGGAAAAGGAAACTTCACTATTCCACTTACTTCAAACCACCATACTTGCTGGCAATACGCCACAACATGGAACCTGCAAGATACAATATCCTATGTCACCTTTTATACTTCTCGTGCATTATCGAATTTAACAAAAACACACTTATTTGTCTCAAAGGATACACTTGTATGCTTTTGACAAATGAGGATAAACATGATTCTCAACATTCTGTGCTCGATTCCTTTTTAGCTATAGGACAAGTGAAGCTTGATTTTGTTTGAAATTAAGTACCAAGGGAGTAAGTAAGGTTTTCTCCATTTGGCTTAATGGCTTCATAACACAAAATTGACACTAGTAGTTCAGGTTTTATACTCTTCAAAAATAAGCTTATTGATTGAAAGACTGAGTCGAAGTAAAGAAGAATTTACAATTCCCAAATCTAATCAGCTCATATCAATCAAAATTAGCAAAAGCCGAGAAGAAAAATTATACTTCTGAACAAGGAAAAGCAGTCACAACATACTAATCACAATTTGGTTCATAAAGGCCTCTATATATCATCTTCCTCTTTCATGGCTAGAAATTTGAACTCGCGTTATCCAGAAAAGGCACTACATACTACCTAGGCCATTCCATGCAATCCAAACTAAGCGCACTATCTTATCAAGTGATGAACATAATCCATGTAAATGAACTCTTCCTTCAGATAGGAAGGGAAGAATTATTTTTGAAAGGACTACGTTAAGGCACAACTTTGTTCTCTTCTGGTCTTCCCTTCAGACAAAAAATAAAAAAGTTTTTCAGATCCTCTAATACTTTGACAATTTCGAAAGGGACAAGAAAGAGACATTGCCAAGAAGTTGCATCAGTAAAGTAGCATGACCACTGTATCTATCACCACATTTGCATTCTTTCTTTGATAAGTGTTTATCACCACACGTGCATTTAGTAATCCCACAAAACAATGTTCGAACCCTACTTCTAGAGACACCCTTCAAGCAGTTAATTCTAAGAAAACGAAGTACGAAACTTAGAGCAAATATCCCCAAATGCTTAATCAGCAGATTAATAGTACACCGGATAACAGAAGTCAAGCATCTAACAAATTCCTATCATATCTGGTAACTCGTAAACCGGCCAAATCTGTGGGGTAAACAATATTGATAAAGCTCAGCTAAACCTTGTTGAGCTGTACTTCCTCAAGACTAACTTACAGGAAGTTCCTGAAGCCTGTGAAAATCTACATTTTGACATGCTATTCCTTTAACTCCTGAACCGATGCAACTAAACAGTGGCTACTTCAACAGAAGGCAACACCTCTTCCTCTTCTTTGAGTGTCTTTTTTTTTTTGGGAGAAACCTCTCACACCTCTTCTACTGGGAATAAGAATCATCACTAGTTGTCATCATCATTTATCAAAATAAGGACGGTACTTGTCAACGACAATTCACCACCATCATCCTCATCCCATCAGAATCAAGACTAGTGATCAAGAGATTCAACTGAAAGTTTTAGGTAAGTGCATCAAGAATCAGGCAGGACACCAATGAGGTGTAAGAGAAGAGGGGAATTGCTTTTCATCAATGCTTCATCAGTCCTCTCTTGTTTATTAGTCTTAGCTATTTTGCTTTTCTTACTACCCTTTGGGTATCTATTAAACCATCAAATAGAGGTGTGCAATAGAGCATTGATTATTTCATCACCCTCCTCACAAAAAGGCAAACAGAAAGTTCAAGCTCCACGATAAACATCTGAAAGCTATAATTGGCATGAAAAAGGTGTAGCAGCAGGTTGCACAAAAGTAAAAGTTGGAGGCCACACCAGGCACCTTCCAAACTCTCAAAAATTTCGTTTTGATCAACAACAAACCCAGTGTAATCTCACAAGTGCAGTTTGGGGAGGGTAGTTTGTACGCAGACCTTGCCCCTACCTTATGAAGGTAGAGAGGCTGTTTCGAATAGATCCTCGGCTCGAAAAAAGCATGGAAAGAAAAAATCTATGTTTTGATCAAGAACTTTAAATTATCTATTAAGGCACTTCCATAACTTTATGGCCTTCCCTAAAATCTTGATAGTTCTAACATGTCCAAATCACATCATGGCTTACCAAAAAGTTAACCTATAAATGATCAGCATGACAACCATTTTCCCAGCAATGATACATAGCATGATGTAATGACCCAGCCGGTTGTTTTGAGAGTTGTAGCCCTGTTCTCCCATTTACTGCTCATTTTATGCTTTACAGTTGTTATATGACTTGCCGGGGTAGTTGGTTCGGGTCCGGAGAGGTTTCGGAATGAGTTGAGACACTTAGTCTCAAGGTTGAAAGCTTAAGTTAAAATGGTTGAACGAATGTTGACTTATGTGTAAACGGCTCCGAAATGGAGTTTTGATGGTTCCGTTAGCTCCGACGGGTGATTTTAGACTTAGAAATGTGTGTTCGAATTTTGATTTGGAGGTCCGTAGTTGAATTAGGCTTGAAATGGCGAAAGTTGAAAATTTGGAAGTTTGACCGAGAGTAGACTTTATGGTTACTGGGTTCGGATTGGGGTTCCGGGAGTTGGAGTAGGTCCGTGGTGTCATTTGTGACTTGTGTCCTAAATTTGAGGTAAATCACACATGATTTGATAGGTTTCGGCATCGAATGTAGAAGTTGGAAGTTCAAAAGTTCATTAGGCTTGAATCGATGTGCGATTCGTGGTTTTAGCGTTGTTTGATGTGATTTGAAGGCTCGACTAAGTTTGTATGATGTTTTGGGACTTGTTGGTATGTTTGGTTGAGGTCCCGGGGGCCTCAGGTGAGTTTTGGATGGTTAACGAATCAATTTTGGACTTGGTGTTATGGCTGAAGATTTTCTGGTGTCTATACCTGGTTTCCTTATACGCGATCGCGTGGACAGGTCCGCGATCGCGTAGGCTTGTTTGGGGCAGTGGTGATTTTGCTCTATGCGTTCGCGTGATGGGGTACGCGATCGCGTAGGTTGCCCAGGCAGTGCATCGGAACGCGTAGTCTGAAGAAGCAGAGGTTCGCGTTCGCGTGGAGGATTCCGCGTAAGGTTAATTCATGAAAGTACCATTTTTGTGATTCGCGATCGCGATGAAGGACGACTGGGCAGAAACTTAAATATTTCAAAACGAGGGTTTGAGTTCATTTTCACAATTTGATTTTGGGAGCTCGGTGGGAGGCGATTCTTGGAGAGATTTTCAAGTGGGTTATTGGGATAAGTGATTCTTACTTAGTTTTGGTTAAATACCATGTTTATGTCTTTGATTTCATCATTTAATTAGTGATTTGGGTGAAAAATTGGGGAAAAATGGAGGAAAGTTCTTAGGCCGAATTTTGAGGATTTGATCGAGATTTTGGTATCGGATTTGAGAAATTTTGGTATGGGTGGACTCGTGGTTGAATGGGCTTCCGGATTTTATGACTTTTGTTGGATTCCGAGATGTGGGCCCGGGGGCGGCTTTTGAGTTGACCTTTTGACTTTTGATTAATAACTTAGTATTTTTTTATGGAATTGATTTCTTTAGCTCATGTTGATTGTGTCGAACTGTTTGTGGCTAAATTCGAGGCATTTGGAGGCCGATTCGCGAGGCAAGGGCGTGTTGAAATAGGGATTTGCACGGTTTGAGGTAAATAACACTTTTAAGCTTGGTTCTGAAGGTATGAAACCCCGAATTTCGTGCTATGTGATTTATGTTGAGGTGACGCGCATGCTAGGTGACGGGCGTGTGGGCGTGCACCGTAGAAATTGTGATTTAGCCGATTCCCTGGAACTGCGTAGCTATTCTATCTGAATATTTTGTTGTACTCTATGTGTTAGAACACTTACTGTAATTCATGCTAGAAATCATGTTTAGACTATATATTGGTACTATTGGGACCCACAATGGTCGTTCTTTGCTGTTTAGTTATTTGTTTAATTGCAGTACGACTGAGTCAGATTCATCATTACGTGTCATATCTCAGTCTATGTTATCGTATATTATCACATCTCGTATCATTGATTAGAGCTGCTTAGCATGAGTGTTGTGAGCTCGAGTGGCTGGAGAGATTAGTGACTGAGTTGGGGCCTGAGTGTCGTGCTGTGAGTGATATCTATATATATGAGGATCGGGTTGCATACTGCAACAAGCCTTATGGCTATATATATATATATGTGGATCGGGTTGCACGCCGCAACAAGCCTTATGACTATATATATGTGGATCGGGATGCATGCCGCAATAAGCCTTATGGCTATATATATGTGGATCGAGTTGCACGCCGTAACAAGCCTTATGACTATATATATATACGTGGATCGGGCTGCACGCCGCAACATGTATCGTACAGTGCTGAGTGACTGAGCGTGACGAGCGAGAATTTAGACGGGCGGATTGAGTGCTCTGAGAGTGTGAGTACTTGGGATTTCACTGTGTTGCATCAGATACGGTTCACATTGGCATGTAGCTATAGAGACGTCATACTGTTCTTATTAGTCGCACTTGGCATATTTCATTTGTGCTAAACTTAACTGTTGAACCTAGAAGCATGCCTACTTTTCTGTATTGTTAAACTCTATACCTTTACTGTATTGTTTGAGCTCGTCACTGTCTTCAGACCACATGTTAGATTTGTTACTTATTGAGTTGGTTGTACTCACACTACACCTTGCACCTCGTGTGTAGATCCAGGTGCTTCCGGTCGCGGCGACTGCTGATTTGCGGAGTCCAGACCTTCGGAGATCATCGAGGTAGCTGTTTGGCGTTCGCAAACCTTAACCCTCCTCCCTTATCTTTCAGTTTATTTATTTAGTTTTTTTTTTTAATTTCTAGACAGTGTACCAGACCTTGTCATTTCATAGATGCTCATGTACTTAGTGACACCCCGGTTTTGGGAAGAATTTATGCATTGAGTTATGATTTCCTATTCTGTTTTTAAGAGATTTTCCTTTATTTAAACTGTCTTAGTATCTTTCAAAGATTTAAGTGTTGGAAATGTCTGAATAGTCGGCTTGCCTAATACCATGATAGGCGCCATCACGACGGGTTGGTTTTGGGTCGTGTGAAACATATAATCTGACCAAATTTGGTAAAGGCACCAAAAATTGAAATGGATATAATATTCATCATCATCTACAACAGTTCACAACATGATTTTCAGAACAGGAAAAAGAACATGTATAATTTCGTTATTGTACAAGATAGAATGCGGTGTGGGGAAAAAAGTAAGTATAAAGCCACTAATAACCCCTAATCTGGTGTAGAAACTGGAAGCTATTATATGTAGGAAATCCCGTACTATACACCATACCGTATATTAGCAATGAAATCAGAAAAGTTCCACTCAAAACATCTGATCATGCTTGTGATGGGGGTTAATGAGAAGGGCTTAACTGCAAGCAAAATCACAAACTCTCTGACTTAACTTCCTAAAACTCACATGTATTAGTGAGAGCAAATTTTATCCCGTGAAGCACAAAGAAACCCCAGTTTTAAGTATCCCGGCTCATCGGGGAAAAAGATTACATATCAGTAGCATTACAAAGACCAGTTCAAGAATCCCATTTAATCTCCTTAGTGAAGAACTAAGCTTAATAATGATATTGTCGGATATGATTTGAACAAAGAACAGATTAAACTAACCTTGACTCTTCTGTTGGAAACCAGTTCCAATGTCTCCTGTCTTCACTACCAGTTATTGACATCGCCTTTGAAGAGATTGACATGCAAATCCTTCCACTTACTCTATCCATCCATACTTCCTGTGTTTTTTCCACATGTTATGCAAAGTACTTTTAGTAAATATAACATCAAAAGTGTGCCTAAAAATTGGAAGTCTACGAAAACACAATGAAACTCAACTGCGCCACAACATTTTTTTAAATATTGAAAACCCCAACCATACTTATGGTTGGAAGTAGAGGGTGCTTCGTGCTATGCTATCTTTACCTCATCGAAGCTCGACATATTTCTCACTCCCTTTTCCCCATTTCGAGAACATTGATCCAAGGCATTAGAGAAACAAATAAAGAGTGTATCCATACCATCAAGAACCTACTTAAGCAGTGTAAACTCAAAATTTATAGTCCTTTCCAATACAAGTAATCCAAAATATTTGAAAAATACAAGTCTAAACAAATTCTCAAAGATTGCAAGCTCTATCCCCTGATCAAAATCACAGATAGCCAACACTCAATTTCATCCCAAAAATGGCCAACATCAACATTGACCTAGAAAACCAATTTAACAGTAACTCATTTTACAATAAAAACAAGAATATCACATAACTTATCTAAATGACAAATGAAAGATCATTCGAATCCCAGCAGAGCCCAAAAAAAAAAGCTACGTGATTTCATCTGCCTAACCTTTTGTTCACAGACTTACAAGGTACATGTTCAGTGATTAATTAGATGCGTGCAAGAATATTATACTCCCTTCGTGCCAACTTTTTTTAATGAGATGGTGTTTGACTGCACACGAAGAAAGAAAAACTTTTGAAACTTGTGGTTTTAGAGGGTGTTTGGCTAAGCTTATGGTGAAACTAGATTTTGAGTACTTTTTGGGTTATCTACGCGTTTGGTAAACACCCAAAGTGCTTATAAGCAAATGCTTATAAGTCAAAATTAGCCAAAAGCCATGACCTGGTCACCGCCAACATTAGTTTTACAGCTTAAAAGTACTTTTGGTTTGACCAAGCCTTTTATGATTTAATCCATAATATTTTTTATAAGTTCCGAAATACTTTTCCTAACATTAAAATTTTAATTATCTCTTTATTCTATTTCGTCAGTTGTCCATTTCATGTAAAATTACTTCTAAATTCAAATTTCTTGTAAATAGCTTTAAGGATATCTACAGAAATGTATTTTTAAGCACCTCTTTATCAATTACACTAATCGCTTATTATCAGCTTCAACAATTCTATCCAAACAAACACATAACTGTTTGTTTATGAAATCAGCTTGAGCACCTAAAAGTGATTTTCAGCATTTGATGTTTATCAGCTACTTTTAATCAGCTAAGCTAAGCGGGTTTTGAAACAAGTCATAAATATTTATACGATTAAGTAAACACTATTTGTATGATTATAAATCATCTAATTACGGGTAAATAAGAAGTTTAAAGCTAATTATTTCTAAATATAGAAAAGTAACATTCTTTTTGGGAGACTAAAAAAGAAATAGTATCACACAAAATAGGGACATCAGGAGTAAAAATAAATTGATAAAGCACAGAGAAAACCAAAATGAAATGAGTAAAATGGGGATCATGAAGAAATTCGAGTACCTTATTGTCATCTTCAAAGGGGACGGGGCGAGAGAGAAGGGCAAAAATGCCCTTCTTGGGAAGACCGTCGTATCTCCAAGGAGGCAAAAGGTCGAGCATCTGGTGGTAGTTACAAGGAAGCTTGGATTCCCATACGGCGTCAGAAGAAGCGGCGCCGCGGAATGCACGGTTCAGCCGAGCCAGATTGCAGATATCCGGCGGCGTCAGGTACATGAAGACGCAGGCAACGCAACTCTCCGGCATGTCGCCGAGCCCCGTTCCGCCGCCGGTGGCCGAACCGTTCTCCGTTGTGTTGGACAATGATGCGCCCATGCAATTAATTGTCTTTAAACAATCTGTTGGAATTTAAGAGATGCAATTTCGGGTCAAATCATGGTTTTGTCGCGGAGGTGCTATGATGGCGCACGGCGGAAGTGGGGCGGTGATTTTTAATGGAGGGAGGCAACGGAATTTTCTAACGACTTGTTTTATTGTCCATTTTCAAAGTTCTCTGCGTTTGGTCACGTCAAAGCATGCTAGCTTTTCTACATTCCCCTACTTTCTTCCTATTCTATTCTTTCCTTTGTGAATATATACTGTTATATTCGCGTCAAATAACATATTGGCCAGTCCGGTGCATTTCGCAATAAGACAAAGTTCGGAAAAGGATTGTATGTAAACATTATTTCGATTAACCTAGCGAAAGTAACTTCATCATCGCATCAAATAACACATTATTTCGATTATATTAAAAAACTTTACTGAGCAACATAAAATTTCCATTTAGGGGTTTGAAGGGTCAAATTACTAAGATGCCCTAGAAGGCTAGAAATATCTATGACACGAGGATGATGATCATATTATAGTTGATAAAAATATACACTAGCAATAATAAGTGGGGGACCAAAAAAATGTGTACACACATTCTCAGGTCTAGTTTAAGTCATGTGCGCTGACATTGTATAAATTTTGTGCACCATCATTTGTATTGGCATACAATGACATGTAAGTTTTAATACTAGCATGTCTAATATAATAACTTGAAGTAGAGTAATAGTATGCTATAATTGGTTAAATTGCATTGATAATATATAAATTATATTCTCATTAATCTTTTCGATTGTGGTTTTCGTGAGCAGTCCAACTAATTCGGTATAGAAAAATGCTTAATATATAAATATAATTAACTCAATACATTGTCATGTTACTGCCGCCATTTACAATTCACAATAGCGCAAATCTCTAAAAATTATACTAGTACAGTAATTATTTTAAACTGAGAAATCAACTTTAGTATAACGCACTGATATAACAATCATATACCCAGGTCTGGGAGGATAGTATGTACGCAGACCTTACTTCTACCCTGTGAAGATGTAGAAGTTGTTTTCAATAGACTCTCCGCTCAGAAAAATATAAACACCGCATTAATGACAAGATAGACAAGAAGGGACAACACCAAAAAGCAATGTGAAAACAATTTAGAAACAACAAGATAATAAGATGACAAAAATGGAAAAAAATGACGGGTAGTCATATAGAAATCTACTATCAACAGAATTACGCACTGATATATATTATAAATACTAAATACTCATTTGGTCCTTTCATCTTACCAGTCTTGACACATTATTGTAAAACTTAATAATAGAAAATAAAAATAAATCTATTTTTAGAAAGGCAAACTTACATAGCGGTGGCTCGTAGTTCTGTTTAATAAGATTTTTTTTTAGACAGAGAGACGTCGCACCATATATGAAAATTAACTTCTTTTTAACTCTTTTTTTCATAGATAGGTTTTAGTTAAATAGCATAATCCTCATGCCTTGATGGATAAGATAATTCTTTCTTTCTTTCGGTATTGGAGGAAAAGTCACCATACGTGGAACAACATTAAGCTGACGAGGCATGACACGTGAAGCGTCGATATAGCGACAAGTGACATTCTCAATTAACTGAACTAAGGATGCGCGGAAGGCACGAAAGAAATACTCACGGGATAACATGAGAGAAAAGAACCGAGCCTGACAATTGTCAAAGGAAAAACAGGAACGGAATGAATGAAGACTCCAAAGAAGGGAAGATACATGATCCAGAAATAAATAAGGAAGGAAAATCGGGAGCGGTTATAAGGAATCTTTAGTCATAAATATGTCAGTTACGATTATCTATGGTAATGGGCAATCAATACAGTTAATACCCTTAATTAGTCCAAATTAAGTATAATAGCTGTTACAATTGTATGCTCCTATATAAGGATGAGAATTTCATTTGTAAGGACATGTGACGATTATTATTGAAATTCATACTATAATTCTTTGCTTACTCTCTAAATTCGCCGGCCTTGATTTTAGGAAGTGTTTGTCAATCCATTCCACACTTTTCTTTGTTAATTATTTTCATCATTTCTTAAGAAAGTGAAGTAAAACTTGGTTTTCCGTAACCCGTTTTCTTCTAGATATTGACTTTGACCGGGAAATCTATTTTTGATTAAACAAATTGGTTCCGTTACCGGAAATCTAATAATCTTTTCACTTTACAAATTCTACTTTTCGACAACCAACTATGTCAACTCCTAACGAAAATACCCAGTTGAACCCACAAGGTGGAACTCCACCACTCCTCTCTCCAACGAGATCCCCTCAGCAATCCCGTGGAGGTTCACATGAAAGGTCTACATCGCGCGCTGATGATCAACAAGGAGATGAACAAACTATAGAGCAGGACGCTCTAAAGCAATTAATTGTAGAACACGTGGATAGTGCTCTACAAGATTTTATTAGAGGATTGCCCAACGCACCACAAACTCCTCTACCAGTCAATACATCAACCCTAGAAGACCCGTGCTCAGGGCTTGACAACTCTGGAAGTGGAGGAATTCCAAACGAATCTCGCGATTGAGGGTCAGGTACACCAAATAATTCTAATCTACAAAGTTTGGTACTTACTTTGCAGAAATAATTGAAGGAGGAAAACGATCGCATAGAGAAAATACCTGGTGTGCCACCCATGATCAAAAGGGTGGATATTGACAAGTATTCACAACAGCCTTGGAAGCCAAGTGTAGTGCCTTTGCCAATTCCTAAAAAGTTTAAAATGCATGATATTCTGAAATATGGTGGAACGATTGACCATCGAGATCACGTAACTGCATTCACAATTGGCATAAAAGGCAACGATTTAACCAAACAAGAAATTGAATCGGTTTTGGTTAAGAAATTTGGTGAAACACTTACGAAAGGAGCATATACGTGGTATTCTCTTTTACCTAAAAAATTTATTGATTCTTTTGCTGAGCTTACAAATTCATTTATAAAAGCACATTCGGGAGCTCAGAAGGTTGAAAAAAGGATGGAAGATATCTTTAAGGTAAAACACGGGAATACAAAATTACTCAGGGAATTCGTAGACAGATTCCAGCGGGAGAGGATGATGTTACCTCGGGTACCTGATAACTGGGCAGTTATGGCATTCGCGAGTAATTTAAACGAGAAAAGTTCAGAAGCATCGAGAAGACTGAAAGAGAGTTTGCAGGAATTCCCAGCGACAACTTGGAATGATGTGTACAACAGATACAACACAAAGTTGCTGATAGAAGAAGATATGGTCGCACAACTAAGAACCGATGAAAGAGCAGGATCAAGACGTTCGGAATCAGAAAAAAGGACCAGAAAAAATAAGTACGAATCTTACATGGGACCTAATGGGTAGGACCCTCGATCTAAACAAGAAAACACACTATTCGACTCAAGACCGAGGCAAAAAGATACGAGCTCTTTATATAGGTTCAGAAAGGAACGGGATGCACGAGCCAACGAATCTGGTACACACGCAAGGGTAGGAGATTACTGCTTCAACATCAGCACCTCCGAGCTAGTAGTCGTATTAAGAGGTATGGGAGATAAGGTGCGATGGCATAAAGAAATGAGATCAGATCCAAGCAAAAGGAATCCAGATTTCTGATGTGAGTTTCACAACGATCATGGCCATAGAACAACAGATTGTAGACTACTACAGGGAGAGGTCGAGCACTTGTTAAAGCAAGGTTATCTAACTGACCTGTTCAGCGAGAAAGGAAGACAATCATATATGAAGAACAGGCAGGAACCCCCAAAACCTCCATCACCAAAGAGAACAGTTAATGTGATAATCGGGGGAGATGAGGTGAATGGTGTAACTTATACAGCTTCAAAAAAGATGTCAAAAGTCACGGTTAGTCATGGGAAGCGAGTTTGCCAAGTCTTGGATGGAGACAGTATAACATTCAATGATGGAGATGCGGATGACTTTATGATTCCTCACAACGATGCACTGGTAATATCTTTCCTTGTACACGATACTAACGTAAATCGAGTTTTTATTGATTCAGGTAGTTCAGTAAACATCATTTTACTAAGGGTGGTGAATGAAATGCAAGATAACGACAAGGTGATACCAAAGGCATGGTCTTTGGCCGGGTTTGATAATTCAAGTGTTATCACAAAGGGGGAAGTTTTGCTCGCCACGTTTGCTGAGGGGGTTGTTAAGGATACAAAGTTCCAGTTGGTAGACGCGGACATGGCATATAATATAATTCTGGGAAGACCATGGATTCAAGACATGGACGTCGTCCCATCCACATTACATCAGATTATCAAATTTACTTCACAGTGGGGAATCCTTCAAATCCGTGGAGATCACCAAACTTCAAGAAGTATTAACTCAGTAGTGATTTCGAGTAAGGTAATCAATGATGCAAACGCAAAATAGCAACTACAGAACTCGGTTGAGGACATTAGTGCAAAAACCTCAACTGAGTGTATACCAGGATAGACTGATGTTGATTCGAGACCTGATGTTATTCAAGAGACAGAAGAAAATGAAAATATTAAGACAACTGCTGAAGAACTCGAAGCTATAGTACTATTTACACATTGGCCAGATAGAAAAGTTTACGTCAGAGCAAATTTAAGCCCAGAAATTAAAGGTAAGTTAATCAAATTTTTACAAGCTAACGTAGATTGCTTCGCTTGGTCGTATTCAGATATGACAGGTATACCACCAGAGGTAATGACTCACAAATTGAATTAGGACCCATCATACCCACCTGTCAAGCTGAAGAAGAGGAAACAATGATCCTTCAAAAATCAGGTAATCCAAGATGAGGTACAAAATTTATGAAAATTGGTTCGATACGAGAGGTAAAGTACCATAACTGGTTAGCTAATACCGTAGTAGTTCCTAAAAAGAATGGAAAATGACGAGTTTGTGTAGATTATACTGATCTAAATAAAGTTTGTCCTAAAGATTCATTCCCTCTGCCACATATAGATCAACTAATTGATTCTACCGCAGGACATGAACTTTTAAGTTTATTAGATGCATATTCAGGATATAACCAAATAAAAATAGACTCTCTAGATGAAGACAAAATTTCGTTTATCACAGACAGGGGGACTTACTGTTATAAAGTCATGCCCTTTGGTTTAAAAAATGCTGGATCACGTATCAAAGGTTGGTGACCAAAATATTTCAAGAGCACCTGGGAAAAACCATGGAAGTCTACATTGACGATATGCTGGTCAAGTGGAAGCTAAATCTAGA